GCATTAGAATTCTTAAAATGAAAGTTTATATCCTAGTGGGCATTGTCTTATGGTTGCCTTTTAGAGCAAGTCAGAGGGTGGTGGTTTCTCTGGGTGATGCCTGTGTAGTCATTAGATTTAGTCTGCAGTGGGACTTCTCTGTCAAGGGCCAGATACTAAATATTTTCGGCTTTGTGGATCGTATCTTTTGCAGCTACTTAGCTCTGCAGTTGTAGTGCACAGGCAGCCATAGACAATATGTAAATGAATTAATGTGGCTGTGTTCCAATAAAACTTTAGTTACAAACACAGGTGATGGGTGGATTTGGCACGTGGGCCAGTTGCCAACCCCTAGTGTAGGTGGTCTGTTTTGGTCGTTTCTTTGAGAAATGATGTGATCTGCTTGTAGGTACTGATGCTTATAGATGCCAGCTTTGGGTCTGAAATGGAAACCTTTGAGTTTCTAAACATCTGTCAAGTACATGGGTTTCCTAAAAGTATGGGAGTTCTCACCCACCTTGACTCCTTCAAGCATAATAAGCAACTGAAGAAGACAAGCGATTAAAACACACGTTCTGGACAGAAGTTTTCCCGGTAGGAAGAGAAATAATTGTTAGATACTGATAGTATAATCCTTTTAAGACAGACGGAAGAGGCAGGCACAGTGGCTCCTGCCTGTAATCCCAGCACTTTGGGAAGCAGAGTCGGGCTGATCACTTGAGGCCAGGAGTTTAGAGCTCAGGGCAATATGGCCAAACCCCGTCTCTACTAAAAATGCAAAAATTAGTCAGGTGTGGTGGTGCATGCCTGTAATCCCAGCTACTCTGGAGGCTGAGATGTGAGAATTACTCGAACCTGGGAGGCAGAGGGTGCAATGAGCTGAGATTGTGCCACTGCACTCCAGCTTGGGTGACAGAGTGAGACTCTATCTCAAAAAGCAAAGAAACAAACAAAAAACTGAAGAGACATTACTTGATGTATCTCTTGGATTTGCCTCCTAAATTCCCATTGTGTATGTGTTCGCAGTCCCTGACCTCCTGAATTCCCATTGTGTATGTGTTCCCAGTCTCTGGAAGGTTTCCCTCAGGAGAGCGCTTATTCTGGGCCTCTTGGTGTATCTCATTTGTCCCTGTACCTGCTGCACCAGGCAGTGTTTGGCTGTTTTGGGGTTAGCACTTAATAGAATACATCAGAAGTTTCTCCCAGTTACAGGACCAGGCACTGCCCCTTCCTTTCCAAACTGCTCTGGTCCATCGGCCACAGAACCGTTTCTGTGCTCAGAGGCCTCACCTCCCTCTCCTCACCATACTTAGATGGATGCCCCTGCTCGGCTGCAGAGCAGTCTGCCTCTGTGGGGTTCTAATAAGTCCTGAAAGAAGCCAGCAAGGCTCTGGAAGCCTCAAGACAGTGGCTTTGCTAGAAGTCTCCCTTCTTAGGATTGCTGCTTGTTTAGAGCTTTTATTTTGTTGCAGTTTTGACAAGAACTTAATTGAAATTTAATTTTTAGTTTTCCTTTAATGTTTAGGGTGCCAAACTGTTCTACCTTTCTGGAATGATGCCTGGAGAATATCAAAACCAAGAAATCCACAATCTAGGCCATTTTATTACAGTTATGAAGTTTAGGCCTTTCACATGGCAGACTTCTCACCCTTATATCCTGGCAGACAGGTAAAAAGTGATTATAAACTTTTTCTTCCTGGGCCATATATTTCAAAGCTAAAAAGGCTAGAAAAAGAACAGTGATAGGATTTATTTTGTGCCTATTTGAATAGTGGGGGTAGAAGTGTAGTTGATGGAAAATGTCTACTTATATCATTGCTTAAAGATGCTGTGCCTTTGGAAGTAAATTAATTATGAGATGTTTAGGAGAATGGGAAGACTTGGAAACATTTAAGGCTACAGGATGTGGCCCCATCCTATGCTCAGCCTCAGTTTTCAGTGATGCTGCCTTTGTGCCCGGGTGCTTGAGTCCTCATGTGTGCCTTCAGTTTCCTTCCTTTGTGCTCTTCTTTGTGCTGTGGTTTTCTCAGCCTGGAATACCCTTTCTCCACCTGCCAGAATCCAAGCCACAGTAAAAATCCCAGAGCAGAGGCTCACCCTCTTCCAGAAAGGGATTTTCTGAATGTGTTCTTCACTCTTCCCTGACCCCAGGTGGACGTCATCTCCCTGTCTGGTGTCTTATGGAATGAATGTCACTTTCAGCGTTGAGACGCAATTGTGTGCCTGTCCCCTTTCCGCTGCTGGATGGTGAATGGTGCTTCCTTATTTCTGCATTTTCTAGTTTTCTAAATGACATGCTTAGTGGACAAGAGTGTGATGAGTCATTGACACATGAAAGGAGGTAGAGGAACTTTTGGCATTCATTTCTGCTGTATGATTGAGTTTATTTTTCGAGGATGGAAGATTTGACAAACCCAGAGGATATCCGAACAAACATCAAATGTGACTGGCAGGTGTCACTTTATGGTTATTTAAGAGGAGCACACTTGAAAAGTAAAAGCCAAATTCACATGGCAGGTATTCTCTTGTTGTAGAACATACTAGAATTACACATAAGATTCTTAGGATGGCTTCATTTCTCAGGAAAACTGAAAAATGACCAAACAAGGGAAGATGGCCTTGCTGGAGGTTTTAAAAGTAAGCCAGCTGTGTGTAGGCCTGCAGAGGTGTTACCGAATCCCCTCTTCTCTGACCTCTTGTCTTGCAGCTAGAGGGATACTATTCCAGTATGGCATGATGCCCTTCTTTAGGGTCATGGTTTAAGCCCTTGGACTGTTGATCTTTTATTGTTGTTG